ATAGTGCTATATCTCATAAGGGATTGCATATAGGGGTTTCTTAGCGCTGAGCTTATAGCGTTCAAGTGGTCTTTAGCGCTCTCGTCTAGGGGTGTAGGCGCTGAGGAAGCCTGTGGGTGTAGGGGTGTAGGTGCTGAGGTAGCCTGAGGCTGGGGGCAGTGGATCGATTGTTGTAATCCAAAGGGTAGCTCAGATGTGAGGGGGTCGGTAGGGCGTTTTAGTGTTGACGTTCTAGGGCGTTTAGGGTTTGAGGTTTGGGTTATATTTGTTTCTAACTACGCTAGCTTGCGACGAGTGTTTTTATCTCTCTCTAATAGTCTTGAAATACAGAAGGACTATACTAATAATACAGAGGGTAAGAGCCTGAAGGTGTCAGGGGTACAGAAGGTAGAGTACTAAGACAGAAGGAGATAATACAGGGTAAGTGGAGTGTGTACCAAAGGGTAAGTAAAGTGTGTATCAGAGGGTAGGCGTAGTGTGTACCAAAGGGTAGGTAGAGTGTGTACCAAAGGGTAGGTGTAGTGTGAGTCGCAGGGTAGGTAGAGTCTGTACCATAGGGTAGGCAGAGTATGTACCACAGGGTAGGTAGAGTGTGTACCAAAGGGTAGGTGTAGTGTGAGTCGCAGGGTAGGTAGAGTGTGTACCATAGGGTAGGCAGAGTATGTACCACAGGGTAGGTAGAGTGTGTACCACAGGGTAGGTGTAGTGTGAGTCGCAGGGTAGGTAGAGTGCGTACCATAGGGTAGGTAGAGTGTGTACCAAAGGGTAGGTAGAGTGTGAGTCGCAGGGTCGGTAGAGTGTGTACTATAGGGTAGATAGAGTGTGTATCACAGGGTAGGTGAAGTGTGAGTTACTTAGGGTAGGTGAAGTGTGTGCCGTAGGGTAGGTGTCGTGTGTGCCGTAGGGTAGGTGTAGTGTGTGTTATAGGGTAGGTGTAGTGTGTGCTGTAGGGTAGGTATAGCGTGTGTTATAAGCTACCTACGTGCTAGGATCGAGGTTGCAGCGATTCCTCGAGCCTGAGTTAGGGTGCTAGCGATATACCCGTCTAACCACTTAGCCCTAGAGTGCCCTAATAGGCCCTGTAGGGCCTTATAGGTCTTCGCTGTTTCGGCTTCCATTAGGCCTCCTGCCGAGAAGATCAGGGGGTGAAATACAGGGCCTAAGTCGCTGTATTTAAGCCGTTTAGCGTTTGCTGCCTCTGATAGCGTAGCATAGGCTTCTTCGCGTGCTGAATCCTTGTTGATTGCTACTATTTGAACGTCGTAATAGTGCCTAGAAGTACCTATAAGCACTGAAAAATCCGGTCGTTGGCTGTTTTCTAGGGCTATAGGCGTTCTAGCTGGCGTAGGCTCCGATTCCACTTTAAGGTCTTCCCGGCTAGAAAGGGTAGTAATAAATGCACGGGTAACCTGGTTATGGCGTATAATCCAGGGTTAGGGTTTGAGGTTTGGGTTATATTTGTTTCTAACTACGCTAGCTTGCGACGAGTGTTTTTATCTCTCTCTAATAGTCTTGAAATACAGAAGGACTATACTAATAATACAGAGGGTAAGAGCCTGAAGGTGTCAGGGGTACAGAAGGTAGAGTACTAAGACAGAAGGAGATAATACAGGGTAAGTGGAGTGTGTACCAAAGGGTAAGTAAAGTGTGTATCAGAGGGTAGGCGTAGTGTGTACCAAAGGGTAGGTAGAGTGTGTACCAAAGGGTAGGTGTAGTGTGAGTCGCAGGGTAGGTAGAGTCTGTACCATAGGGTAGGCAGAGTATGTACCACAGGGTAGGTAGAGTGTGTACCAAAGGGTAGGTGTAGTGTGAGTCGCAGGGTAGGTAGAGTGTGTACCATAGGGTAGGCAGAGTATGTACCACAGGGTAGGTAGAGTGTGTACCACAGGGTAGGTGTAGTGTGAGTCGCAGGGTAGGTAGAGTGCGTACCATAGGGTAGGTAGAGTGTGTACCAAAGGGTAGGTAGAGTGTGAGTCGCAGGGTCGGTAGAGTGTGTACTATAGGGTAGATAGAGTGTGTATCACAGGGTAGGTGAAGTGTGAGTTACTTAGGGTAGGTGAAGTGTGTGCCGTAGGGTAGGTGTCGTGTGTGCCGTAGGGTAGGTGTAGTGTGTGTTATAGGGTAGGTGTAGTGTGTGCTGTAGGGTAGGTATAGCGTGTGTTATAAGCTACCTACGTGCTAGGATCGAGGTTGCAGCGATTCCTCGAGCCTGAGTTAGGGTGCTAGCGATATACCCGTCTAACCACTTAGCCCTAGAGTGCCCTAATAGGCCCTGTAGGGCCTTATAGGTCTTCGCTGTTTCGGCTTCCATTAGGCCTCCTGCCGAGAAGATCAGGGGGTGAAATACAGGGCCTAAGTCGCTGTATTTAAGCCGTTTAGCGTTTGCTGCCTCTGATAGCGTAGCATAGGCTTCTTCGCGTGCTGAATCCTTGTTGATTGCTACTATTTGAACGTCGTAATAGTGCCTAGAAGTACCTATAAGCACTGAAAAATCCGGTCGTTGGCTGTTTTCTAGGGCTATAGGCGTTCTAGCTGGCGTAGGCTCCGATTCCACTTTAAGGTCTTCCCGGCTAGAAAGGGTAGTAATAAATGCACGGGTAACCTGGTTATGGCGTATAATCCAGCGTCGTTCAGCACCTCTACAGGTGTCTTCGTGGCCTATTTGAGGGTAGGCTCCACAGGCGGTACAGGGCGAAATAGGGGGCTTTACAGGGAGTAAGAGCCTAGTCCGTAGTGCTTCGGTAACTGTAGAATCCGCTAAAAGGTGGTGTTTTTGCGTGGGCAGGGTTCTAAGCCAGTATCGTCCGAGGTAGCTAGCGTTCTCAAGCTTCGATTTTAGCGCTTGTTTTGATAGGGTAGGTAGAATCTTCTCTTCTAGGTCTTGGTTAACACTAGAGAAGACCTCTTGGGCTGTCGGTACAGGGCGTCCAGGGGGTTCCGGGTAGAGATTAGGGCATATAGCCACTAGAATCGATCGAGAGGCTTCCTTAGCTGCCCTATAGAGCCCTGGGGCTAATAAGGCGTGTATAGGGAGCCCTAGGCCTCCCTCTCTCACTGGAAGAGAGAGTAAAGCCTGGCGAATTAGGGTAGTCTTCTCCCCTGGCTCCCTAGCGATTAGGGCTTGTACAGCGTACTTGATTCGTAGGTCTGCTAACCTCCAGAGGTCTAGTAGGTCTTCCGAGTACAATTGGCGCTGTAAGTGTCGTAGGAGTAGGTGTATACTACCCCGTAGGAGTAGGGTAGCGTGTTGTTTAGGGAGGTCTCGTAGGGTATATAGCGCTGTAGCGAGAGTGTCGATTTTCCCCTGGAGGAACGTTCGGCGGTGTGCTACAGGGCCTATAAAGGTCCCTAAGGCCTTAAGTCCAGTGGTTTGTAACTGGGAAATAGGGCTTTCGGTGCTCTTTTGGCGGTTAAGAGCTACTGGAGAGTCCCTGAAGGCTTCTATAACTACAGGGAGTAGTGCTGTAGTTTCAGGGCTAAGGATATAGATATCGTCCAAATAAGCTATAATTGTAGCCTTCGGTAGGGTCTTTTGGAGGTGCTCTAGCAGGGGGCGGATCGCTAGAGAGAATAAGAGGGGGGCAATAGGGTCTCCTTGGCGTACTCCTTCAGCGCTTGCTAGCGTGTGGCCTTCGTTTGTTACTAGCACTGAAGGCTGGTTATAGGCCCATTTAGCGGTCCGATAGAGGGTAGGGGCGTATTTAGCGACTGCGGCCGCTATTGAGGTTCGTCCGATTCGGTTATAAGCGTTGATAAGGTCTAAGGAGGCGATTTGCTGAGTTTTTAGGGTATTTAGGCCGGTAATAGCGTCGTCAAGGAGGAAGATTATAGGCTCTACACCCCCTGGGGTGCTAACGCCTAATTGGCAGGGTAGAAGCATAGACGGCTTGAAGGAGCTGATAAGGATCGCTTCTAGGGCTACCTTATAAATAAGGTCCCCTATAGCGATCGGTCGAACACCTCCGTCAGGCTTCTGAAGGCCTATAAGTCGGGAAGCACATAGGAGGTCGACCCCTGGAGCTATACCCTGTCGAATCATATTCGCTAGGTATGTAAGCGCTATAGTTACAGGGGAGTTTTCCGAATTTAGCGCTATATCAAGTAGCGGGCGGGTCCAGCCGCTGAGGCCAGGGGCTTTCTCTCTATTAATCGATCGAATAGCCTGTCGTATCGTTTCAGGGGTGATATTTTGCCCCGGGGAGGGGTTAGCGTTACTGAAGGGGTTATTATGCCCTATAGGGTGCTTCGAGTATAGCGTATTTAGCGTCTCTGGAGTGCTAGGAGCTAGAGGCGTAGGGTCGATTAGGGCTCTAGAGGCACGCCCTATATAGCCTTTTTCCAGAAGCTTAGTCGCTCTTTTGGCGGGGGAGTCGTTTGAGGGGGTAGGGAGTTCAGGGGGAGGTCCCTGAGTTTCAGGGATATCCGGTATAGTCGTAGGGTAGGCTTTCAGCGTTTTAGCGAGCTCTTCCTTCTGTAATCCTAGGCCGAGAACCCTGGGAAGCAGTAAAAAGTCCAGTAATTGCTTCTCTCTTGGCTGCCGTAAGAACGCTAAAGCCGCTCGATTAGCAGCCTCTGTAAATAGCGCTGCTTGCCTGGCGTGGAGACGTGTTTCAGGGACCTTAATAGTGCTATATCTCATAAGGGATTGCATATAGGGGTTTCTTAGCGCTGAGCTTATAGCGTTCAAGTGGTCTTTAGCGCTCTCGTCTAGGGGTGTAGGCGCTGAGGAAGCCTGTGGGTGTAGGGGTGTAGGTGCTGAGGTAGCCTGAGGCTGGGGGCAGTGGATCGATTGTTGTAATCCAAAGGGTAGCTCAGATGTGAGGGGGTCGGTAGGGCGTTTTAGTGTTGACGTTCTAGGGCGTTTAGGCGCTGAAGATGCTGTGCCTTGTGTTGATATAGGGCGTTTAGACGCTGTAGGCCCTATAGTACGGCCCTGGAGTGTTGGGTTACAGGGTAGGCTAGGTGTGGAGGTTTCGCAGGGTAGGTGAGTTGTGGTGTTTTTAGAGGGTAGGTGAGTTGTGGTAGTTTTGGAGGGTAGGTGTGTTGTAGGGGTTGTTGGGGGAGAAGAGCTTATTATTATAGGCTCTTTAGCGTGAGAGGGTGCTGAAGCTTGGGGAGCTTTAGGGGGTGATTCTAGGGGTGAGTAGCTTCGGTTGCTTATAGGGGAGCCTACTCGTGATAGTCGAGGGAAGTAGGGGCTATCAGAGGGTAGGCTAGGTGTGGTAGGCGTCTTATCGGTAGGTGTAGTTGGTATAGGCGTTGAGATAGCGTCTTCAAAGCTAGGGGTAGGGGACGATGGCGCTGTAGAGGCACTATAAAGATCTTCGTCGGACGAGCTGTCTTTGATTATAGGCTCTATAGGCTGCGTAGGGCCTATCTTTTGGCGTGTCGTAGGGCGTTGAGCCCCTGGGGAGGGTGTTCTTGCAGGGCGTTTAGTGGACGGCTTCGGGGGTATATAGCCTGTAGCGACGATTTGGGCGTATGTAGGTGACGTAGAGCCTGTAGGCGTGGGGGGTCGAGAGCCTGGGAGGGAGTCTGGTTCAGGGCCTGTAGGGCCGTCGTACGCTGGGAGTATAGCGTCTACTTCCCCTGGAATCGAGTACCAAATACCCCGTGGGGTCTGAATCCTTCGGGTGCCTGTAGGGAGGTCGGGGCCTAGAGCCGTAGGGTACTTGGAGCCTGTAGGTACTGACGGTACAGGGGTCTTAGAGCCTGTAGGTGCTGAAGGTGCGGGGTACTTGGAGCCTGAAGGCGTAGGGTGCTTAGAGCCTGTAGGTACTGAAGGTACAGGGGTCTTGGAGCCTGAAGCCGTAGGGTGCTTGGAGCCTGTAGGTGCTGAAGGTGCAGGGGTCTTGGAGCCTGTTAGTGCTGAAGGTGCGGGGTACTTGGAGCCTGGAGCCGTAGGGTGCTTAGAGCCTAGAGGGGTGGCGGTAACTTGGGCGTAGGTAGGCGATTTAGGGCTATTTGGTGCTGAAGTTACAGGGGACGGAGAGCCTGTAAAGCCTGGGTAGATATCGAATGGGGGGCTTGGTAGGGGTGGAGGGGTACTGAGATTTCGGCTTGTAGGTGCTGGAGGCGACTTATACAGGCCTGTAGCCCCTGGAGCTGTAGGGTATTCAGAGCCTGAAAGGCCTAGAGAGGCTCTGGCCTTAGGGGTAGCGGCTCGAAAGGGTGCTAGTAGCTGAGGGAAATCGATTACAGGGTAGGGGGTGCCTATAGAATCGTCGATTTCAGCGTCTAAGGGTGCTGAGGCAGAGGGGGTAGTATGGATTCGGTGCTGCGTTGATACCCTAGAGCTACCGGTGATTCCGTGGATTTTAGCGCTATGAGTCTTAATCCCGTGGGCTCCTTTACACGCTGTAGCACAGGTAGGGCAGGGAACAAGGCCTATAGGCTGTAATTGAAGCTCTGTAAAGGAATCAGTAGGGTGTTTTTTACGAATATGATCGAGAATATCGATATATTCATTTTTACACGCGGGGCATTCGAACAGCATAGTAAAAGAGGGGTAGAGGGGTAATTGCGGGGTAAAGTGCGGGGTAAAAATCAGGGGAAATATGAAAACTTAGTGATTTATCAGTAGAATTGCGAGATAACTTATAAAAGTGATGATATCTCGAAAACTAGCCGGTAGAATCGATTTTTAGACGGTGGAAATTAATCCTTAGGTGCTGAAATAGGGGGGTAAGTGAAGAATAAACGGTAAAAAATCGGAGAGGGCGACGGTGAGGTAGGCGCTAGTAAGGTAGGCGCTGGTAAGGTAGATAGGAGAGGCCTAGGGTAAGGCTTAGGGCAGGGATAAGGTAAGTATAGGGTCGATAATAGTAAAGTAGTTGAGAGAGTGATAATTCAGAAGGATAAGGTGAGAAAGTAATAAGGTAAGAGAGTAATAGTTTAGAAAGATAAGGTAAGAGAGTAATAATAGTCGAGAGAGTGATAATCGTCGAGAGAGTGATGATAGTTAAGAGAGTGATGATAGTTAAGAGAGTGATGAAGAGTGAATAATCGAAAGGGAATAGCCTTCTATATAACCCTAAGTCTGACCCTAAGCTCGACCCTAAGCTCGGCCCTAAGCTCGACCCGAAGTCCGACCCTAACCCTTAAAATATTAATTTCAAAGTATCAGTTATAAGGTTTAATCTATTGATTTCAAAGTATTAGTTATAAGGTTTAATCTATTGATTTTAAAGCATCGGTTATAAGGTTTAATCTATTGATTTCAAAGTATTAGTTATAAGGTTTAATCTATTGATTTCAAAGTATTAGTTATAAGGTTTAATCTATTGATTTCAAAGCATCGGTTATAAGGTTCAAGTTTTGATTTCAAAGCTTCGGCTCTAATAAATTTTATTCACCTTAAGTATAGCCCTATCCTCTACCCTATCCTTCACCTTATCTCTTACCTTTACCTTTATCTTTATTCTTTTACCTTTGATTCTTCGATTATCCTTTGATTTTCAGCCTTATATCTAGCCCTATCCTCTACCCTATCCTTCACCCTATCCTTCACCCTATCCTTCACCCTATCCTTCACCCTATCCTTCACCTTATCCTTCACCCTAAGTAAGGTTAATATTACTACTGTAATATCCGCTGCGCTAGTAAATTACATAGTATCTATTAGATACTATGTATCTAATTAACCTTATCCTTAACCCTAAGTCTGACCCTAAGTGTGACCCTAAGTGTGACCCTAAGTGTGACCCTAAGTCTGACCCTAAGTCTGACCCTAAGTCTGAATATTATATTATATATAATACAAAGGGCTACGCCCTGCACGGCTTCGCCGTAAATTTGACGGTATAATAGGTATAATCGACCCTAAGTATGACCCTAAGTCTGACCCTAAGTATGACCCTAAGTATGACCCTAAGTGTAACCCTAAGTGTGACCCTAAGTCTGAATATTATATTATATATAATACAAAGGGCTACGCCCTGCACGGCTTCGCCGTAAATTTGACGGTATCTTATATATATAACGGCTTCGCCGTAAATTTGACGGTATAATAGGTAAAATCGACCCTAAGTATGACCCTAAGTATGACCCTAAGCCTGACCCTAAGCATTATATATAATATATAATATATAATAAACAAGGCTACGCCTTGCACGGCTTCGCCGTAAATTTGACGGTATAATAAGTGAAATTAACCCTAAGTATGACCCTAAGTGTGACCCTAAGTGTGACCCTAAGTCTGACCCTAAGTGTGACCCTAAGTCTGACCCTAAGTCTGAATATTATATTATATATAATACAAAGGGCTACGCCCTGCACGGCTTCGCCGTAAATTTAACGGTATCTTATATATATAACGGCTTCGCCGTAAATTTGACGGTATAATAAGTGAAATTAACCCTAAGTATTACCCTAAGTATGACCCTAAGTGTGACCCTAAGTGTGACCCTAAGTCTGACCCTAAGTATGACCCTAAGTGTAACCCTAAGTGTGACCCTAAGTCTGAATATTATATTATATATAATACAAAGGGCTACGCCCTGCACGGCTTCGCCGTAAATTTGACGGTATAATAGGTATAATCGACCCTAAGTATGACCCTAAGTATAACCCTAAGTATAACCCTAAGTATGACCCTAAGTATAACCCTAAGTGTGACCCTAAGTCTGACCCTAAGTCTGAATATTATATTATATATAATATAAAGGGCTACGCCCTGCACGGCTTCGCCGTAAATTTGACGGTATCTTATATATATAACGGCTTCGCCGTAAATTTGACGGTATAATAGGTAAAATCGACCCTAAGTATGACCCTAAGTATGACCCTAAGCCTGACCCTAAGTATTATATATAATATATAATATATAATAAACAAGGCTACGCCTTGCACGGCTTCGCCGTAAATTTGACGGTATAATAAGTGAAATTAACCCTAAGTATGACCCTAAGTGTGACCCTAAGTGTGACCCTAAGTCTGACCCTAAGTGTGACCCTAAGTCTGACCCTAAGTCTGAATATTATATTATATATAATACAAAGGGCTACGCCCTGCACGGCTTCGCCGTAAATTTAACGGTATCTTATATATATAACGGCTTCGCCGTAAATTTGACGGTATAATAAGTGAAATTAACCCTAAGTATTACCCTAAGTATGACCCTAAGTGTGACCCTAAGTGTGACCCTAAGTCTGACCCTAAGTATGACCCTAAGTGTAACCCTAAGTGTGACCCTAAGTCTGAATATTATATTATATATAATACAAAGGGCTACGCCCTGCACGGCTTCGCCGTAAATTTGACGGTATAATAGGTATAATCGACCCTAAGTATGACCCTAAGTATAACCCTAAGTATAACCCTAAGTATGACCCTAAGTATAACCCTAAGTGTGACCCTAAGTCTGACCCTAAGTCTGAATATTATATTATATATAATATAAAGGGCTACGCCCTGCACGGCTTCGCCGTAAATTTGACGGTATCTTATATATATAACGGCTTCGCCGTAAATTTGACGGTATAATAGGTAAAATCGACCCTAAGTATGACCCTAAGTATGACCCTAAGCCTGACCCTAAGTATTATATATAATATATAATATATAATAAACAAGGCTACGCCTTGCACGGCTTCGCCGTAAATTTGACGGTATCTTATATATATAACGGCTTCGCGGTAAGTTTGTAACGATAGTTAGGGTGATAGTTAGGGTGATAGTTAGGGTGATAGTTAGGGTGATAGTTAGGGTGATAGTTAGGGTGATAGTTAGGGTGATAGTTAGGGTGATAGTTAGGGTGATAGTTAGGGTGATTAGTTAGGGTTAGGGTTAGGGTTAGGGTTAGGGTTAGGGTTAGGGTTAGGGTTAGGGTTAGGGTTAGGGTTAGGGTTAGGGTTAGGGTTAGGGTTAGGGTTAGGGTTAGGGTTAGGGTTAGGGTTAGGGTTAGGGTTAGGGTTAGGGAGGGTGTCTGGTCGTCAGCGACAAGATGGACAAGACCGTCGTCGTCGCTGTCGAGGACCGTGTGAAGCACGCGCTGTACGGCAAGGTCATCCGCCGTACGAACAAGCTCAAGGCCCACGACGAGCAGAACTCCGCCGGCGTCGGCGACCGCGTCCTCATCATGGAGACGCGTCCGCTGTCCGCCTCGAAGCGCTGGCA